AAAAAAAAATTTGTATTATTGTTTGATATAGTACGACATAGTAGTGTTTGTTTCGCAGATTTGTTTTTGCTATTATTATACATTTTAATGTGGTGCGATGTTCTGAAATCAAAACATTAATTGGTTTTTAGGGTTTGTAGTGAAAAAATATATAATATATTAAGAACGTTCAAGTGATCTTATCAGATTCATTTCAAAGTTGACATTTTATGATCTAAAATACAAACAGGAGAAGCTTGTCTGTCACTGGAACACATTTCAGTCGAGGGCCTCTATGGTGTAAGGAATTTTATTTAACATTTTCATGAAATTTGATACCTGCTAGTGTACAGTACACATTTAAATATTTAACTTCACATACTTTAAAAGAAAAAAAGTTATTTCCCCACTTGCAATAATAATGAACTGCTGTGAGTTCGACAACGAACGGTTGTGCTCAGTTTAGCAAACAACTCGCACAACTGCAAAATTGTGTATTTACCGTGTTTCATATATTACAGTTATGTACATAGTTACTCGCCTTCATCTCCTGCCACATGTATATGCATATACAGAGTTTCTAAGAAAAGCAAAACAAGTCATTTACTGTGCTGTACGTTGAATTGTTTTTAGAGCTATTTCCATTTAAACTTACCCTCATCCTGAAGTCAAAAGCAACAAAGTAGGATATTTAGCATCTTCCATCATCTCTAAAAAAACGCCTGCAAACACCACAGTGATGTTTTCAGGCAACCCGTGATCACAGAGGTCACCGATGATTTACCTCCATATGGGCGAGACAGATTTCCATACTGTCTCAGAGCTTCACCTGGAGTTCGTAGGGAAGTCAAAGCACCTTCACAGCTTTACACCTCCAATCCCCGCAGATCAGCTCATTAACAGGGCCTTAACACCTGCCGTCTATTTACCCTTAAACACGCTTCTAATACGACTTCATCCTGCCTTCCGCCCGGGTGTTGGTTCCTCGCAGAAGAAGCGCTCGTCTGACTGGAATATTCTCGAATGCACATTAATGCAAAGATTCGGAGTACAATACAAACAGTTTAATTGTGTCATTAACAATCAGTAACCACTCCTAGTTAGAACATTTCTGCATAAAGAAACCGAGAAACACTTATAAAACAGTCAGTCGTAACAAAATAACTGGTGTTCTCATTGCAATAAACTCATAAAAAAGAACCACTTTTTTTATACATCATATTTATACAGGAATAGCTTTGAATTGGATCGTTAACCAAAGGAAGACACATTGCAAACATCGATTTCACACAAATTGCATATGTTTTTCTCTCTAAGGTGGTCTCTATAAGGTTAGTCATTTACCTAAGCTTATTTGCATGATAGTAAAAATTGCATACAACATTAATTGTGAAGCTCGTAGCATGAGTTGCTTGACATACAGCACTTTTTTAGGCAACCGTTAAAGCACATTTTCCATTTAAAACGTTAAGACACTTCTGATTTTACTGCCCATCAAAATTACAATTATAAATAGAAAAAGATCAGTAAAACGAAGAGCGCCGGGTGACGGAAACGTTCCCCAAACGTAACGACATCAGAACGCAAAATAAATAATGCGAGACGATGCTTGTGATTCACATTTGAAACTGTGGGAATCCAGGATTTTACAGTGACCAAAGTTTTGCAAAATAATCTTAACATCGGCAGTGCCATATAGTACAAGGCATTTGTTGGCATAGTTTCTTTAAGACTGTATACTTTTTTACAATGAATATATGTCTATATATATATTTATATTTCTTCCAACCAAATAAGATTGAGCCGTTTTCCTTTTCCTGCAGGTCGTAGGGGGCAGGTAAACCGAGGGAAAACAGTTCAATCTTGGTAATCCAGAGACCGAGCCATCCTTTTTCTCTCTCTCTCTCTCTCTCTATCGCAAAGAGAACTCATTAGCCAGCAGTGCTCGACTCAGTACCTCATCATTAAGGCCTTTGTCTACTACCCCTCTTCTCCAATGTCATGCATTTTTTTCCTTAAAAAAATCCAGTTAACATCACATACGTAAACATCAAAGTCTACCAAACTCCATTGACTTTCCTTTTTTTTAAATCAGTAGCTCAAAATCAGTGTAAAAACAACAGACAACAAGTGCAGTCAGCAAATATCCACAGCAACATACTGTTTGCTTAAAGGAATGGTTCACGCAAACACGAAAATTCTGTCAGAAAGTGACTTTTTCTATATAATGCAAGTGAATGAGAACTGGGGCCATCAACGCAGTTTGGATAACCAATTTGTGATATTTATACACTTAATGTGATATAGAATTACTCATACCATGGTATATTTGTTACGAATAATTTGTACTATTGGTCTTAGTCCATTAGGTTAGTAAAAAAATAATAATTTAAAATAATAAAATGAAATAAGTGAAAAAAAATTTCTCAAAAAAGTTGTATTTACAGCCAAAAAAACAAACAAACAAACAAAACAAAAAAATCATATTGTGATATATACCATTACCCTGTCATAAAATGACTTTCATAAAACATATTTTATGATGCCTTTGTGCATTTCGGAGCTTGACAGCCCAAGTCGCCATTCACTTGAAAGGAAACAACATTTTCATTTAGGAGTGAACTATTCCTTTAGGATTTTTCTTTTTACATTTCGTTTCATTGTGCAGATTATTGAAATGATGCACGAGTCTTTACAGTGAAATAGTCCACGCTTTACAAAACTGTGAAAGTTAATCATCTCGTGTAAAAAGTCTTACAGTTTCGCTCATGGAACACAGACAAGAGTGAACGAGAATAACACCAGAAGCAAAAGAAAGCCGTCCGTTACTCTTTGGCCTCCTGCTCAGTTTGGGCCTGTCTCATGGCGTGCGTTTCGTGCATCAGGTGCTCTTCCATTTTAATGGAGAACATGGTGCTGTTGGTCTGCACGCTCTCGTCCAGCTCGGTCAGCAGCTCATCCCCCTTGAAGTCCGTCAGGCCCTCGTCCTTGTTGTTGTTGTTGGAGGGGAAGCCCAGGGGCGGCTCTTTCAGCTTGCCGGCGTGGTTGATGTAGAAGCGCTGGTTCTGGAAGAACTTGATGATGGTGTGTTTGGGCAGGTCCAGCTGTGCCGAGAGCGTGTGGATGGCCTCCTCGTCCGGATAAAGGCCCACGTCCTGAATGAAGCTCTGCAGGATGCCCAGCGCCTCCATGGAGATGCGGTTGCCTTGGCGGCTCTTGCAGCGGCTCTCGTCCTCGATCTCGGCGGGCGAAGCCGTGGAGGGCTGCCGCGGGGGCAGCCGCGGTCCCGTCTGCTGCAGGGGATGCTGGGATAGAGGAGGCTGTGAGGGGTGAGGCAGGGGCAGCGGCACTTGGAGCTGAGAGGAAGGCTGTTGATGAGTCTGAGAGGGGCGAGAGACAAATATGCTACATGTCAAACTCTTAAAATACTTTTTCGTATACGATCGCATAAGCTATTTTACAACAGTTCTGAATGTATCTGAACTCAAGCGTCCATTAATAATATTTGTTGCCATGATGTGCATTTATTTATTTGATCTATTGGTTGAAGTCCATTATTTTAATAAAACAAAAATAAAATATTTTTAAGTGTTTATTAATTTGAGATTGTTGCACTAATTTTAGACTTAATAATTTTTAGGCTTTATTTGTTCTATTGGTTTGAGTAAAATAAAATAATAAACCTGCTACATGTCAAACTCAGGTTTCCCATTTTAAAATTCTTTCACATATCCAATTATAATGTTAGTTTTACTGTTGTCTTTCGTTCCAATTGGGACAAACTGAGGAACCGGCGGATCATGGACAGGTTCTCCCAGAGCGTGCGGTTCTCCGGAGATGGGTCCTCTTTCCAACGGAGCAGTTCACAGAGCCAGCCCTGCAGGAGAACATGAAGACAACACATCAGATGTGAAAAGAAACAAGTCGACTTAACAAATTCCAGTTAAAATGAAAAAACCTTCATGTTTCATGTCATGTATTCTAGGTTTCAAAGGTGTGGGGTTGGTCAGAAGTCTCTCATGCTCACCAAAGCTGCATTTATTTGATAAAAAATTTCATAAAAATTGTGAAATATTATTACAGTTTAAAATAACTGCATTCTATGTGAATATATTTTAAAATGTAATTTATTCCTGTGATGCAAAGCTGAATTTTCAGCAGCAGTGTCACATGATCCTTCAGAAATCATTCTGATTTGCAGCTCAAGAAACATTTCTGATTATTATCAATGCTGAAAACAGTTGTGCTGCTTAATATATCGGTGGAAATTGTTGCATATTTTTTTTATTTCAGGATTCTTTCATGAATACAATGTTCAAAAGAACAGAATTTATTTAAAATAGAAATCTTTCTTTTGTCTCAACTGTCACTTTTGATCGATTTAATGTAATGAATAAAAGTATTAAAAATCTTAATGGACTCAAACCTTTGAACAATTTTTCCCCCATTTTGTATTCATTGAAAATTTTTCTTTTTTCTTATACATCGCATAGGGTGGAAAATTACATAAAGAGTATAGTTACCATTTTAACATTACACCTTCCCTACCCTACTGTTTAGAAGATAAGTATTATATTTTGAGTTATACTATGCATGGCTGCAACGCAAAAAAACAAAACATTTATGTGAACGTAATCGCACAATCAATATTCATAAGTCAAACGAACAAGTTTAATAACTTCTCACGCAATACCTTCATAACTAATGCAGTAAACAAACAAAAATATGTACTGTATATATGCTAAATTTTATTGATTTTGTTTAGTTTGAGAGAGGAGTTTCTATCTGAAAAGTACTAGAAGAAGCATTAATGGATTGGCTAAGGAACTGGAACCATTAAATTCCTTATGATTCCCATTCCTAATATAAAGCGTGGTCAAATCCTAGTTTTAGGAAAAGAAAAGAGGAAAAGGGAGCTCTAGTGTGTGTTCCAGCAGTCGAGTCCTGGCACACTTACAAACGTGATGCCGTAATCTCCAGGCCAGTGTGTGGCAGCACCTTTCATTTCCACAGGATTACCCAGCACACACACACACGGAGCAGGAGCCAGAGCCACACCAGAGCGCTGTATGGCAAAGATAACTCAGCATTTCTGTTGTCCCATGTTCTTGCTCCTCCCAAACGCCATGTAAAACCCCAGAGAGCGAGCGAGTGAGAGAGGCTCATCACAGCTCACCTTGTTCCTCTGCCATGTTTATTGTCGCATTTTGCTTTATTTGCACACGTGGGGATTTGAGTCCCGGTTCCTGCTGTGATGTCTGTAGCCCGACGCGCTTCAAACACGCACACACCTTATCGCAGCCATTAAGCGCACTATCGTAAAATAATCCTCAATCAAACATCTGTGGATAAAACGCCAAACAAATCCCACTGAGCCAAAGAACGAGCCACAAAAATAAAAAATAAAAATCAACATGCAACCAAACCGAAAAAAGTCAGAGGTATTAGCATTAATGCTGTTGCATTATAGAACAAAAACACAACAATAAACACTTTGCATTGGGCAGCCACACTGACAGTGTAATGCTCTCTGGGCCTTGAAGACCTGAAAAAGTGCTTGTATTTGTCCAATTGCATTGCGTCCAATTGTCTTACCATAAACAGTGAGCGCTCGCACAGAGTAGAGTCAGCCTGGATACGGGAACGTTACTGGGATTTGGTTGGTTAAATTTGACAAACACTATAAAGGATAATGTATATTTTTGGAGAATATGGAGATAGGAAATCTAGTCATGTACAACTAACACGGACTATAGCTTGGCTAGAGATGGTAAAAATTGTTCAGAGTTTGCGCTTCATTAGTTCCCAGTTGCTTCATTAGGCATCAACTTTGTTTTAAAGTTCCTTTTAAAATCATTATGAGAAATAAAAATGACTAATCAGTCAATAGTTGACATACAGTAAGAGTAAAGAGCTATGAAAATGTGAAGTGAATTAAATGAGAAATATCTGAGCTCATATTGAGATCTTCTGATTTTGGTATCTTGGCAAAACTGAGCACAGATTGAGAAATTCTTACAATCACCTTTGAAGCTCTAGATGAGAAATATATAAGAATATTGTGTTTTTAATTTATTACTATTTTTATGGGTACTGTGTGAATTGCCAATAAACAAAGAAACAAATAAATAAGGTCACATTTCACACTAAAAATTAAACGATAAAATCTTATATCTAAAATAAAATAGAAATTTAAGACCAATTTTATTTAAGCCAAATTTACAGTCACATTTCAGATTAAAAAAAACGTTATTTTTTTTATTTAAAATAAAATAAAATAAAAATCATTAACCCAAATTTAAGGACAAACTTAATAAAAAAATAAATTAAATTAAATTAAACAATTTATTTTAAGACCAATTTAATTAACTTTTTCATCATAATTATTTTCAGGTGACCTTAAAATGTTCTTGACAGATTTTGTGTGAGCTTCACCCATTTACAGCTCAACTTTAAGATTATGTCACCCAAACGTCCATAAAGGCCATGGACGGGTGGACAGGTCAAGTGGTACGTGAAGAGAGGGTCCAGGCAGCCCACCAGAGCCTCCATTGTGTTCGGGGTATAAATAGCAGTGGTACATTCTGATAAAAATATTTCTCTGGCGCACAATGGCTGAATTCATGCATAAGATTCACTCAACTAAGCAGGATACGGTGTGTCTATGCGTGTGAGGGCCGAGCGGTCACAAGCTGCCAATGAGACAAGCACAGGACGCTACTGTGAGAGAACAGCGTGGTGTTTATGTCCCTCGCCTGGACCCAGATGCCAGCGGACACATTAATAACCTTGGGATTGAGTTCAGAAGCCCCAGACAGTTGCGGTTTTCCACATCACTGTCACATGGCACCATCAACACCTTTTTATTATCTCATTTGCTTCTTATCGTCCCCTCCGCTCATCCTGTTCGGCCAGGCTTCAGACTCCTGAGACGATACCCGTCTCAAATCACTTGGACCTCGATGTCGCCACCGGTCCCGAATCGGCCAACAGCTCCCCAGCATCACTGGGCCGCATCCCAGTTTGTATACTTCTACTACGCACTAAAAGTGTGTACTTGGTTAGCTATGATCGTCAAGCAAATACCTTCGAGAAAATAGTGTTGGAGATAAGTATCGGGCAAGGTTATTGAGAAACGTACTTGCTACGGTATAAACTACCCATAATGAAAAGTAGGAAGCTACTTTAAAGTTACAAACTAAAACAAACTTTAAGCGATTTAAGCGACAATATCTTACCTAAATAACAATCACATTTTATCTGGTACCAAAAATGATTTTGTACCTCTTGGTGAGGGTAATAGCATTAAACAGCATTGGAGCAGATGAATTTACACTAGATACCACCAATAAAATAGAAAAAGAAAAAGAAAAAAAACGGTAAGAGAAAAAAAAAATGCAATTTTAATTTATCAAATATAAATAACTTATAAAATGTTTTATTTATATTTTTTAAACAAAAAATAGGAAAAAAACAATAAGTATTTAAGAAGTATTTATTTTAAATAAATAACTAAAAACAGAGACATAATCTGTACTGTACAAATATATCTGAATTGTAACTTTTTTTTTATTTAATTTAATTTTATTAATTTAAACACACACACACACACAATGCATAAATATGCGCACACAGTTGACCATTTTTGTTTTGATATTCTATTTAAATTTAATTTCAATAAATAATTAAAAACAAAGGAATTATTTATATACGTAATTTTATTTTAGATTTTATATTTCCTATATATGGGGCCGTATTTAACCAAAACTAATCGTAGGAGAAGAGTAGAGAACAAACTTACTCAAGCAAGAAGTTATTCAGAGCATTTACGGTGTTGCACGTTCATATTTCTCACCACGTATTTAATGCTATAGAGCGATGTGTTCGGTCTTGTCTTGTTTGATCGCAACATGTAAATGTATAGCGCTGTTTTTATGAAAAATTCTCCTTGGGGATCAATAATGGCTGTCTGTTTGTCTATCTATCTATCTGAGATCTCTAAGCAGAGACAAAAGGGTTGTGCCGAAAACCTGCTTTAACGACATGCATGACGCCGTTAATATGTTCCTTGTGAGCTTTCTAGAAGTTATAATACACTTTGGCCCCAAAAAGGATTTGGATGCTTGAGCTGCATTTCAGAAGTGCATTGCATTAGAAAATAAAATTTCATTGTACATATTTTGCACTTTAAGTAAATTGCTAAAGTCGATAAAACATTAGAAATGCTTTTCAGCAGATGATTAAAGGATAGTGAACAAAAAAATTAGTTAAAAAGATCTAGCTGTATTTGATTGCAAATCACATTTGCTTGATATTATCTCAAAAAAACTTTTTTTTTTTAAATTGTGCAAGTCTGCAATACCTGCTCTGATGTAGTAAGAAATGGCCACCAACGTAAACTTAACTCACGAACAACTGCCCAGAAACAACTATAAATACTTACACCTTGATACAATGTCAACAACTTTTTCTACAAAATTCTGCGAGGATAAAGCAGATCTGGTGGCCTGTAACTAGGTTAACTTTTTCAAGAGACCTGAAGGAAAACAAAAAAACAAGCCCAACACAAAGTGTAAGTAGGTTGATCGCAACATAATTCAAACAAAGAGCCTGCAAGGAGCCCTCGACACACAAGCAACCTATGAGAAAACGCTAGTCCATCAATTATAAGCGTGTGATTGAGATTTAATTCAAAGCTGGAGTTTAATTGCTAATATCAGAGAGTAATTAAGCAGATAAATCATGCCTGATCTTATTGAATTATAGATTAAAACAGCATAAAACCTGCAAATTGTACATGTCAGCTCCAACAGCACTCTTAATTAGCACAAGTTTGCTTTAAAACGGCAAAAATATATCAAGTTGTTAACTTTTATG